CACCTGCTTCAGCTTAAATGCCATTGGCACAGCTGAACAGAGTGCAATTAGCATGCAATTAAACAGAGTACAATGCAATTACAGAAGAGACATTGAGGGTGAAAGACATTATGCACTTAAGCAGTAGGTAACAGATAAGGACTGGCATCATGTTTTACAGTTCAGTAAATTAAGCAGTTATGACAGGCATATATGGATTATATTATAATGCACAATGGCAGTCCAACTTAAGTCCCCTCAAGAATGTGCCCAGTAACACAGTCTGTCATGATAAAGCCCACAAACAGCACAAGGTTAACAGAAGAGATGCTGCCTACTCTCCCCTTAATGATCATTTAAGAGCAGCCGCCAGCTTTTTAATATAGAGGACAGATTCCCAGACTTGCCCAACCTTAACCAATTACTCTCACAGTCGCTTTGAATAGGAGATCGAGAATGTCAGCCCAATTGTTCTAATTTGCCTTCCCGGCCGTGCCCCAATTTTTGACAGGTTTGTTCCTCCATTGCTATAGCGACTGCCGTCCCCAGTGCCCATGATCAAAGACATCGCATTTTAGAGGTCATCTACATTTGAAATAAGGGACATTTTCGTGTCTGAGAAACAGACAAAAAGGGACTGTGCGATGGAGGAGGTTACTCCTCCTGTCTCGCTGCGGCACTCAGTCCTCTTTCATTCTTTCCAGCTTGTAATCCCAGCAGCAACTTATAAATTTGCTGCCCCCTCCCCATCCCAGATGCACACAATGGGAGTCTTCAGTGGCTTCATTTTAAAGGGCTCCAGACAACTGATCTGCAGCTTCTTGCAGACTTCAGGCTGTGACGATTCTCCCTGATGCCAGACTAGAGAGATCCTACCCTGAAGAGTTCACTTGCTACACCTGGTAAAAGAGCACAAGCAGGCACTGACATACGTCACACATGCTCTTTCCCCCGCTATAGATCACATCTCTCCGCTAGGTTTTTTTCTGACCTGCAATTCCCAACACATGCAGCCATTGGTGCAGAAAAGGTTTAGGCATACTCAGGTGTTGATACCTCTGTATAGTCCAAGCCAGCTTTGACAGCGTGGTCCATAATCAACAGATGAGTGTGCGCAACAGACTCACTGATATTCCAGCATCATTACTGAAACCATGATACTTGCCTCAAGACTACACAGTCATATTTCCCTCATTAAGCTACCCCTTTTGGGGGGGCAAAAGTAATTTGTACACTTCCTAATAAACAGGATGCTTTCATAGCTCAGACCCTGCAGGGATGGGCAAGTGAATAAGAGCACATTATAAAGCAAGTCGTCATCACTGTCTATTGTATTCCAGTCATTTCTGGCGAAGCTTGGAGTCCCGCCAGAGCAAGAAGATTATAACATCTCTCGCTTGCAAGTGGAAGGGAATTTGTTAAGACTGGCTGTTCAAAGGGGGGGGAAAAAAGTCTGACATTACATTACAGCTAGAGACTATTGTACACAGTGCACTGACTACAGATAGGGTCACTATTCTCGTAGTTGAAGACATACCTTAGATTGCCCGTGCAGTTCTTCGCTGTTGGACAAGGTGGCATTGAAGGGCTCTGTATACTGATTAGGTTCTTTAATTTTCTTCCTTTCTTTTTTTGCTGCCATCACTCTAAAAAGAGACAGCTGTTGGCAGAGTAATGTAGCCACAAATACCCAGATCCAGCTCATTTTGAGGGGGCGGGGGGGGATGGCTGGCTGGATGAAAGGAGCAGAAAGAAATAATAAATACAGACTTATCTCTAAAAAGAAAAAGTATTGCTGCTGAAGGTGAGCCACTCTGGTAGGCGATGTCAAAGTATCAGCGTGCACCAACGTGCCTGTTTCTGGAGAGAACTCTCTTCAAGTTGGATGCATTGAAATGACATTGATAGGTCAGTTTGCAAACTCGGATCCACAGCAGCAGTTGAAGAAGGCAAAGGGGAAGGGAAGGAAGTCTGTTCAGCTCTTTAGGCTTTTCATCAATACAAGAGATCCTGGAAATTCCCCCTCCACCCGTCTTTAAATTTTACCCCCCGCCCTGACAAGTCTTCAGACTCGGTTGAAATTTGCTTGGCTACGAAACCTAGAAAAAGTCCAGCGATTCAGGAGAAAGGTAGCTCAGGCCGGAGCTGAAAACTCGTAAGTCCATTTGGGGGCTCGTGGGTTTGTCGGTTTTCAATGGGAGATTTCGCCCTGTGTCATTGAAACCCTGCCGCGCAATTCAAAGGGTGACTCGATGGGCTCCATCCATCGCCTGCTCAGCGGTGGCCCCCTCTTCCTCTACGAGAAGCTCCCGTCAGTTGTCTTTGCCTTCATAGATGCCGGAAGATGAAAACCCAAGACAGTTGTCGCTGCTCGTCTTGCGGGGAAGCTGGAGGTGCTCAGTCTTTGGAGGAAAGAAACATCGTCTCTGGCACAATGCAAGGAAAAGCAAAGAAACGGCGAAGACGCCCAGGTCGCTAGGATCCAAGTTGTCCTAAACCTAGCCCTATGTCTGGCAGGATGAGCAGTCAGTCCCAGGGTTGTAAACAGCTGTCAGGGGACGTGGAGTCTTGTGCCTCTCTCATCCTAGTTCCTTGCCTCACCGTGCAAAAGTATTTCAGGTACTTTTCCCTTTCTCTCTCTAAGTGTTGATCATCTCTAATTTTTCCCCTTGCTCCGTTCTCTAGCTGCAAATTGGCAAAGCCCTCCTCAGCCTTTGCTCTACCTCAGCAAATAAGTACTTCTTTCCTGAAAGAGTTTCCATCAACTTGAAGAAAGAAAAAAAAAAGGGGGAGGGATCATATTCTAATGAGCTGTCAAGCCTATTCTCTTCACATTCCTATTAGAGACTCACTGATAAGTGGACCTGGCCCTTGTACCGGAGAGATATTATAATCAGCACCCCCCCAGCCCCATTCCCCACCACCTCCCTTTCATTTTCTCAGGGGAATTAGCACGTTTTAGGGAAGTTTGCAAATCTACACAGGAAAATGGGGCAACGTTAGAAGTACGAGGCTTGAAACAGGCACACAGCAACACGACACCCATCCAGGCATCAGGGCTTGTCTTTTACTCCGCTTTGCTCTATGCAAAAAAATAATTAAAAATTTCTAGACCACCTCAGATTCAGTGGGGGGCGAAGTTGGCTTCTTGTCATGTCCTGGGGGAAATCCTAAAAGCACTTAACATAGGGCTTTTCACGCTCACCGACTCATGAGACAGGGAAAAACAGACTTGTTTTTATAGACGGGGAAACCGAGGCACAGAGAAGTTGAGGAGTGCAGCTCGGCACAGTGAGACAGCCACAATCTCTGATGAGCTCCGGGTCCCCCAACACCAATCCTCTCCTCTGTTCATTACACCAATGTGTTCCCAGGAATGAGTCCCCCCCCCCCCCCTTTTTTTTTTTGATAACTTATCTCCCAAGCAATAAATACTTAGCGCGCCTGCAGCACAACCCATTAGCAGATCTGAAAGAATCACGCTGGGATAGGATCATTACATCCATGTTTCCAATGAAAAAAAGCCAAGTATGGACTGGTAAAACATCATCCCAGGTGGGGAAAAAAAAAGTAAGCGTGAGTCAGTGGCAGAATCACAGAACCACATCTTGGGGGGAAAGAAAAAAAACAAAACTAGAGAAACTAAACAGTTAACAGCCCATCAAAACAGTTAACAACCCCCCCCCAGCTCACATTCCATCAAAACTATGTGGCAGTCTTTATTTCTTAATAATATTTAACTTTCTTTGGCGCCTTCTCATACTTAAGCCCCTTTTCAGGTTAGTTGTAGACAAGCCATGAATTTGTAAAAGTGCACTTGATGACACATTAATAGGACAATCTGTCATATTGCAGCTAAACAGCCCTGACAGATCCACACACCATGGCAAGAAATGACATTCTCGAGGCTGGAGTGGGGCGACGGCGTTTTTGTCTACTGGTGCAGACAGCCCGAGTCATGCAACATCCCCTTTCCCATCCGAAAAGCCCAGTGCTGAGGCTGGCGCAGAGCTCGTGGGGAAATCCCTTCCACCCTGCCAAATCACGGGCAGGCATTACCCCAATGCAGGAGCCTCAGCCACAGACCCCTACACAATGGGCTCAGACTAGTGGGTCAGTGGAAAAGTTACAACTCCCATGGCCCCAAACTCAGCCTTTGAGCTGTTGAGGAGACGCATACTCAGCATTACATCTCCCAGCAAGGCCTATCCACACGGCATCGCTGCAGCCCAGCTGCTCCAAGATACCTGAGCCTTGCCCGACCATGGAGACAGGACAGCCTGTCGGTGTCCCTGTCACACCCAAAGCAGCACCATGCCAGCCTGAAAGCAAAACAGCCCCTTGTGCACCATCTCATGCCTTCCATCCAAAGATCTCAAAGCACTTAAACATAAAGCTTCAGCATACTCTACAAGCACGGCAGTATTGAAGTCAGGCTACGCTGGAAGAAAGCGACATCCAGAAGTCAAGCAAGCCACCCTCCGTTCCTTTGTCACTTATGGGATCAGAGCCAAGTGTCCTGGCTCCCAGTGCCCAGCCATTCCTTTGTGGCACTTCAAAATGGCAAGGATTTGGAACAAGCCAAGCCAATATCGCACAATTGCAGATGCCGTAAAATACCATAGCCAAATACAGCTGGCAAGCAACAATGGGATATAAAGGGAACTGAATTGCTAGGCAAGGTAATTACTGACTTTGAGCCACAGAACCTAGCTGAGAGGGAGATTTTTTTTACCTGGATTTGATTCATATATAAACCTGCGGGGCTTGTACTCTGACCACTACATCACACCCCTCGCCCATGCACCCTGGAGTCCCAGAATAAGTCATGATCTCTGCGATTTACCTTGGCTTCCAAGACGGATCTTTATCTTGTCTGAGGACAGCAAGATCCAAATCTCAGAAGGTCTGCGGAGGGTTAGAGCCTCTCCAGCATTGCCCATTGCAGATTCAGGGAACGACACTTAGGCACCAGCGCCAAGATCATGATTTCTAGATGCCAAGGCACTTGGGAACCCACAAGCATTTATTTATATCCACTGCTGCAACTGCCTGGCTGTGTTATTCTCTGCGGGCTGTGTGTCTGGTGGAACCCTAAACGATCAAGTCTTTGATTTACAGATGCCCATGTGCCATTGTTTAAACCCAACCACAATTCAGGTGGTTACCTATTCAAACCAGCTTCACAAAATAAATCCCAGACAGCTAGAAACAAACAGCAGCTTGCAACGGAAGGATGGAGGAAGGCTTGTGCTGCTCTCTTTGTGTTTTGCAACATACTTCAGCACGGCAGGGTATGCCAATAATATTTCAGTCTGTCTGCATGGTGCCCTTGTCTATATGTTCCTAACCACACCAAGCAGTTGGGAGTTTCCAGCAGTCTGGCTCGGTCGCACAGTTGACACCTAGGTGATGTTGCAGTGCCACCTTGCGACTGAGCACCACCACTCTAAATGAACAATGTCCCATCAATGTCTACAGGCAAGCTTTGGGCTTGTAATATTTGACATTAACATTCCTCGAGGGTTTCTCCCACAATTCCCCCGTCTTTTGAAGTGTTACAACAGTGTAAAAAAAAACCCCCAAAAACCACTGTCTGAGGTGCAGGACGAGAAGATGATCTCACCAGACGAAAGGATGCCAACTGGATCTTAATGAAGGGTCCCTGATTCCTTTCCCCAAAGTCTGAAACAAACAGAATCAGTTAGAACATTTTGAGCTGTTCCACCGAGCAACAGGGAAAGCCAAATTGCGATCGAGGTTTTTTTTTGTGTCTCAAGTAATTAAAAAACAAGCTGTTCAAAAATAAACCAATAAATAAAGGATTGTTGGCAGGGAATAAAGGGCCAAGATTCTGACACCACATATTTTTTGAGACTGAAAAATAGCCCAGTCCTTTCAGTTTACCAACTACGCCATAAAATTTCTCCCAACTCAAGGTCAACATGCATGCTAAATATGCAGTTGCATAGCAGGTAAGGTTAGCTCAGTGTGGAAATGTAACTTATTCTGGGGCCCGTCCAACTCCATTTGAGGCTTTTATATTAATTTCGTTGAACCACTAAACAAATTGGAAGGATATCACAATAGGGGTCAAGGGGGAGAGAAGGAAACTAGTTTTAATGTCCTGCCTAAATACACATATTTGCTCATTAAACCATGATATTGCCAAATAAATCAGCTCCAATCACCTAAAGATCACACGTTCAAAAAAATGCTTTGAAAATTTTCTAGCAAATAGGTCGTTTTAGCATCTAGTGCACGGCTTTTTTTTTGTATTCTGGCTTTCCCTTACAAATAGCTTTGTTATGGAAAGGTTACGCCTAGATGCCAACAGGCAAAAGCAATTCAAAGGGGTAAAAGGCTACCTCCTGCCCCCCTGAAATGTACTGAAATAGATGGATTTCCCAGTGTGACCTAAGTTTTTAAGTTGTCCCTGGAAAAAGAAACAGCTCATAGCATGCTGGTTCCTTAACCTTTGGCGTTTCCTCCTCTATGCACCAAGTCAGGGTGACAACTAGTCTTTCACATCCCCACCTTCTCTCTCCTGGGTCTTCTGGGCATGTGAAGTTTCCTGTATAATGTACTAGCTGGCATGGTTCACCAGTGCTCTCTACTGGCAAACCTTACAAGCCCTCATATGTTAATGGAAAAAGAGTATTTCCTCCTATAGATTTGGCTATGGAAGGTGCCTGTGGTTTTGATGAAGAATGAGAGGTCTATCTTTGTAAAACCATGACTTTTACATGGGTAGTTACCTGAGTATATTCATTTCATTATAAAAGTTTATGCAAAAGGGCCACTCTTCTCTTAATAGTACACAGATGCACTATTTTACCTATGTTGCCAATACAGAAAAGAAAGAAAAAACCCTGTAGGTTCTGGACCCTTGTTTGGGGCAATTTAAAACAATGATGGGTGCATCTAACTTTCTAAAGAGTCAGGTTTAAAAGAGATCCCCTACTAAGGGTTCAATACTACACACCCATACTGCTCTGCAGTCTTTCCAAGCCCAGTTTGGATCCAAGCGAAAATTAGAAACGCAGATATCCTGATTGTGAAGAAAATACTATTATATAATGGAAACTGGGGCACATGACTTGCATGGAGGTCCTCTCAATTCACTAGAGTAACAGAAAGAAGCCTCTGAATCTATTATTAGAAAAATGACAAAATCTAAAAACAGTGAAAAGAAGCTGAGCAAGTAAATGACAGGATATTATTATCCTATTTTACACTATGCCAAGTCCATCAGTCGAAATATCCATCTGCTTTTGGTTCAGAAGAGAATATCAGAATTATGATGCGTTTATCAGAGTGTAACAGTGATCAGGGGCTACTGAATTCAGTCTTAAACCTTTACCTCTCCCTGCCTCAAAGGAAATCAAATCAGGACGCACTCTTATTTATGAGGACAGCTGATGAAGGTTTCTACTCGCTTCTCAGACCAAAAGGACAGAGGTATATTTGGTTGGGTGCTGCACTCCAATCACAGCAGCAGCTGTGTTGCAGTGATTAAATGACATTGATGGATTAGTTCGTAGCACAGCCAAGACCCCTTCAGGCAGAATGGGTCTCAAGTTATTTTCCAAACTTGGAGAGTACACTTTTTTTTTTTTTAACCAGTCTAAGGACTTACCTGAAAAAGAGAAGCACAAAGCTGAAACGCTGCCATTTCTCCACTGCCTAGTGTAAATGAGACTTCTTTCCTCGCACACCCTGTACAAGGCCA